GTTTTCTTCCTACCCTTCCGGCCAAGTTCCTAAATTTCCACTGCTAAGTTCTCCACTTTCTGAACTCAGAGCCCAGACTGCCCTGGGGGCTTGGTTCTTCAGCCCCTCTTCTTCTCCAGCTGTGCCCCTCCCCAGTGACCTAATTCAGTCTCGGGACCTCAAGTACCACACGAATGCTGATGGCTCAGCCCAGGTCTTGCCCCTGCACCCAGGCCCAAATGGCCAGCGGCCGCCCTTCCGTCCGCAGAAGCGCCACGGCTCCCAGGCCTTTGGAATGCTGGCCGGAATCGCCCCGGCTTAGTCAGTGCACCTCCACCCTTCCAGGTCCCAGAGCAGACTCCCGCAGTCCCTCATCTTCTCTTTCCTGCACTTCCCAACACCTGCTTCTTCCTCAGCGAAGCCCCTTGAGAACACGACGACCCCGCACCATCAGTGCCGCCAGGGCTGAGCTGCCATCATCACTCCACCTGAACCATGCTGACACCTCCCTGCTGCAGCGCCTGCTCCAGTCCCAGCTGCCTGCAATTCCCAAGCCAAGGAGACCCCTGAAACACAATCCTGACCATGTCATGCCTGCCGGTGAGACCACGAGTCCCCACCGGATCTGCCTCACTCCAGAGCTGGAGCTCGGCTACCCACTGCTGCCTCTCAAAGTTGATTTCAAGATTAGAGACAAGATTAACAGTACACACCTTCATTTGGCTTGCTTTTCATAAAGTCACATTTAGCAAGTCTAAATGAAGATTTAAATGAACTCTATTTTATGTTTAGATATTTGTTATTCTTATTGCACTCAAAAAGGCCAGGCAGAGATTTGACAGTAGACTTTACGCAGGACCAGCAAGAACGTGTTTCTAATTTTCATGGCTTAGAGAAAGAAAAGGAGCCTCAACGTAATACCGACCACATTGTCCCCATGAATTTCAGATGTTTAACTATGGCTGGGAGAACTTAAAACAATACGTGGGTGCCAGGCATGTTTAAGAACTCTGGCAACAACCAAAACAAAACAAATAAAAAATAAATGGGAAGGAATAACAGTAAGCAAGATCTATTTAAACCAGAGGCAGGAAGAATTTTTGTGATTTATTTGGGGTGCTAAAACTACAATGAAAATACTACTTAGATACTGGAGTCAACCGAATCTAGGACTATACCTGTCATTTTTACTGTATAGTCCACACCATTTGTATTTCATGGTTAATTCTGAACAAATACAATAAACTTATATATTAATAGAGAACTATGATGCTTTGGAAATATAGGAACTTATTGGGGGGCGGGGGAAGAGGGACAGATTACGGCCTTAATTTGGAAGGTGGATGACCTCTGGATCTGTGAATGGTCTGTTCTGAATGAAAAAACCCAGGACTGTTAGCATGCTACAAAAGCAGGTACGACTCTAAGAAGGGGTAAAATTCAAATAAAGCGATCATTTGTAAATTAGTTTTATCTCTGCCTTTTCTGCCTCCAAAAACAGTATAGTTCGAGCGTGGTGGCTCACGCCTGTAATCCTAGCACTCTGGGAGGCTGAGTCGGGCGGATTGCTCAAGGTCAGGAGTTCTAAACCAGCCTGAGCAAGACCGAGACCCCATCTCTACTAAAAATAGTAATAAATTAATTGGCCAACTAAAAATATATAGAAAAAATTAGCAGGGCATGGTGGTGCATGGCTGTAGTCCCAGCTACTCGGGAGGCTGAGGCAGGAGGATCGCTTGAGCCCATGAGTTTGAGTTTGCTGTGAGCTAGGCTGATGCCACAGCACTCTAGCCCAGGCAACAGAGTAAGACTCTGTCTCAAAAAAACCCAACAAAAAAAACCACAGTATAAATAAGGTCAAAGAGAGCAAACTCGAAATGAATTGTCTACGAGAGACAGCTGTGAAAACAGACAAAGCCAACTTGTGGAATCTGCTGCCATCAGAGAAGAAAAAAAGTCTTCAGTCTGGTTGGAAGTCTTGTGCTAAGAACAGCACAACCCACTCTCTGCTGACTGTTACGTTCACGACATCTAAGGGAAAAGACTTTATTTATTTATTTATTTTTGAGACAGAGTCTCACTCTCTTGCCCGGGCTAGAGTGCCGTGGCGTCAGTCTAGCTCACAGCAACCTCACACTCTTGGGCTCAGGCGATCCTGCTGCCTCAGCCTCCCGAGTAGCTGGGACTACAGGCATGCGCCACCATGCCCGGCTAATCTTTTTCTATATATTGTTAGTTGGCCAATTAATTTGTTTTTATTTTTAGTAGAGACGGGGTCTCGTTCTTGCTCAGGCTGGTTTCCAACTCCTGACCTTGAGCGATCCACCTGCCTTGGCCTCCCAGAGTGCTAGGATTACAGGCGTGAGCCACCAAGCCCAGCCCGGAAAAGACTTTAGAGACCTGAGTCTCGCGGTCTGGTGACAGTCAGGTGAGGACACTCACTGCACAACCTTGTGATGAGCTCAGGGCTCCAAACAGGATCCTACGAAAGACGAAAGAGGGGCTTTGCTTTAAGGACTAAGGTAACTCAAATCACTAGTATTCACCTCAATCTATGATTTTAAAGCCTCGGCAAATTCAGTGAGCATTTTATAAAATGACACTAATGACAGAGAAAATAAATTCCCCCAACATCTGAAAAATCTCCAGATAAACTGTTAAGTGTCAGTATTACACTATATGATGCATTAAGTGCACACTGAATTCTACTGAAATACAAATTTCTAAACCATGCTGAACTCACACAATTTGCTAATTAAAAAATTCAAATATATGACCAAAATATTATCAAATAACCTGATTTATAGGCATTCTGTTCCAATTAAATCAATATTCTGAAGCAAGAAAAAAAAGCCATTTTCAAATAGGATTCAAATATGATAAAGGATTTGCTTCAATAAATATTCTGAGCTTAATTGGCTTAAATGGAACCAGGTGCTTCTATCCATAAAAAAAGTCCAGGATGACATTACCACATCCTTGAGCTGTTTATTTAGTCCCTGTCTGGAGCCTGATTTACAGGCGATAAAATGCAATCACAACCCACACCAGAAGCAGGAATCATCTGCTAATGGAACGTTTAACTGAGAAGTGACCAGTGACGTGAGGTAATTCTTCCCAGGCAGGATCACTCCTGAAGACCTCTTTGCACTTTGTCACAGCAAACAATCACTAACATATGCATTAAAGAAAATTTAAATACATTATGACCCAATAAATATCATAATCAATCAATATACAATCTTCTTCTCTTAAGGATTAGTGTTCAGGTACCAGAATATTAGTGCTATACTATTACACTTACTTAGCTCTGAACAATTTTTAGCATGTTGGTACAAACTTTGACCACTTGTAATCAGATGATAATCATGTATATTTTATAAACTAGTACCCCCTTAGGAATATCCATGCAGAAAATAATGTAAGGAAAGTCTTAAGTACATGATATTAAGTTAACCACCATCTTCAAATAACTATAGTTTTGTTAGTTTTTTCTGAACTTCATTATATTTGAAATAGGTTTATTGAAATATAACTGACATAAATTTCACTTGTGGGAGAAAAAGATTTAGATCACACATTCTCCTCCCTAGAACCTGGTAAAATATAAACATCTTCCAAAGGAGAGGAGTAAGAGCAATCTATTACCCCTCCTGAATCTATAGTACAAGGAGCCATGATCTCCAGAATAATTTCAATTATAAGCAGTATGTCAATATATAGAGGGAAAAAATGAGTTTATTCCTAAAACTGGATGATTTAAACCTTCAGGAAGAAAAAGTAATACACAATTTTAATAAGCCTTAATTCATGCACATAATGCTCTATCTTCTGTTGCTGCATTGTGTGGAAATCACAATAAGTAAAAAAATAAAGCAAAAGAAAGGCTCACCTTTATTTTTATTTATTATTATTAATTGAGAAGGTTCTTGGGTTTACCTCAATAGAAAGAACTATAGGACATCACTGTAAAGATTTTCATGCAAGGAGCTATGAAATTTACACCCTCCCGAGGAAGTGGAAGCTGAGATTCGATAAGTAAGTAGTCTGTGGATGCCAGTAAGGGGAGAGGTTATTTCTCTGAGAACTGACACCAAAGCCAGTGCATAGCTCCAAACTGGGGGAGATATGTTACATGTGTTAAAATTAATTAAAGTGAGAAAATGATCTGTTTAAAATCTATGCTAAAGACTCTAACATCAGATCAATGTCTGCAGTTTGTTACTGCAGTAAGGTGAGCCTACAGATGAAGACACACAGCAAAATCATAGTGAGGTCAAGTTTGTGCCCATCACGAAACCTGAAGAACACGTAAAATCTACATTGTCAAAGTAGCAACATTTGGAACCTGAACAAATAAATAATAACTGGTCACACAACAATGCATCTCAAAGAGACACAAATAAGGGGAATTATTTGTCAGGCCTAGGGTCATATCCCCATTTGCTATTAATAAATATATACACAGTACATTACTACAAAGCTACAGTAATCAAGACAATATTGCACTGGCATAAGGCCAGACACAGAGATCAATGGAATAGAATTCAGAGTCCGGAAATAAGTTGGCACATTTACGGCCAACTAATTTTTAACAAAAGTGCCAAGAAGATCAGGCTGCCTATCTCTTTTCCTATTCTTATAAAGCACCAGTCCCCTCCCATGACGACTCAATCACCACTCAGAGCCACCACCTCTCAGTTCTGCCACACTGGGAGTTCAGTTTCAACATGAGTTTTGGAGGGGACATTCAAACCACAGAACTTACAGCCTTCTCTTTCCGGTTCTTCCCAGAGTTGGGAAAAGCTGGGTTGAGAAGGTGGAAAAAGAAAAAGCAAAAAAAAGAAAACCCATAGAACTTATAACCATAAATATCTCTATTTAGTGGTGTGGTTTTTGAACATTTAGCATCTGAATTTCTGAAAAAAATCTTGTGGCAAACATAGAAAACATTCATACAGAAATATAAGATGCCAACATCTTTTGGTCTTAAATTTATTTTTATATAACGATTACTTTACCTTTCCAAGCATTCTGCCTAGGAAGTAGTAATGTCTGGCAAAAGAATCTCCCACAAGCATCTGAGCAGCCGGGTTGGGGTACAGAAGCCCTTCATTAGTAGTCTTAAAGAAACCCTGGTTGGGGTTAAATCCTGATTTCAGTAGTTCATTTAAAAATTCTCTGAAAATACCACCACCATCAATGCCAGCTTCGTCCAGGCCATGGGCATTGAGCAGGTGCACTCGGATCCGCTTTTTCAAATCAGGCTCTGTGTAAAAAGAGGAAAGAGTGAGGAGAAAAGATGTTAAAAGAAAGCAATAAGATAAGCAGTTATTACAGGAAGTCTTGGGAGTGGGAGTGAGAATATTAGGGCCGTTTCAATGCAGGATTCAAAATAGTGATGGCTCACGCCTGTAATCCCAGCAGTGTGGGAGGCTAAGGCAGGAGAATCACTTGAGCTCAGGAGTTTGAGATCAGTCTCTCGAGATCCCATCTCTACTAAAAATAGAAAAATTAGCTGGGCATGGTGGTGCCCACCTGTAGTCCCAGCTACTTGGGAGGTTGAGGCAGGAGAATCACTTGAGCACAGGAGTTTGAGGTTGCTGTGAGCTAGGCTGGCGCTATGGCACTCTAGCCCAGAAGACAAAGCAAGACTCTGCCTCAAAAAAAAAAAAAAAAAAGAGAGACAAGACTGACCAATATTTTCCCCAGAGTTTACATAGCAAAAAAAGAAGAAAAGAAAATGGAACTGAGAGAAAAGAGGAGTGTTTGTGAAAAGATAAAATGATCCCCCATATTCTAAAGGATATGACAGAGTGAAATGCTTACAGAGGAGGAGAGTGGAATTAGGGACACGGGATAATACTGGAACAGTCATCAGCAAGAAAAATGAATACAGATGTTGGCTAGGTGAACGTGAGAGACTCTCTGAATGGGGTCACTGGTACAGGGACTCTCAGAGAGGATCAGCACTCCAGAATCTACATGATTTTTAAAAGCTGTATGTGGCTAGAGGAAAGGGGGAAATTACTTATTATAAAATTTGCTGCAAAAAATATTTAAAAATTAAAAAAAAAATTAACAAAGCCACTCAACTATTCTTGATGCTTGACAGAATTTCTCATAGGTCCTCCTAACTAGGAATAACATGTCCCTATACTTGCTTGCAATGAACACTGCAAACCTGCAATGTAGGCTTCAGGATACAACCCCCCCAATACAAGTCAAGAAAGGTATTCTGTCAAAAGTCAAAGCAAGGTGGGCTGAGTTAGACGTGCTCTTACAGACAGGCTGATCACAGAACAGCTTTGGGAAAGTAAGTGCAATGTGCTTTATCTTTCTCCAAGAACGAGCTACAGATGCCCTGCAAAACAGAGAGAGGACAGGGGAGGGCAAGAAGGGGAGGGGAAGAAGTGGGGCAAACGGCTGCGTGTGGAGTCCAGGCAGGTGAGAAAGCAACAGTTCCCAGGTTTAGACACTTCACAGTCTGCCTGAGCAGCTTCCACCTTTCAGATGTAGTGTCAACAGTCACCCCAAGCATCTCAAGGGCCACGTGACCTCCAGAGACACTCTGGAAAAGGGGTTTAGCAGAAACCATGTTGGGTAAAGCCTTCAGGCAATCTCCTCGAAACCTTGTTTTTCTCTATATTGCTATGCAAAGGTGTAATTTTGAAGTTATGTACCTGGAGTATAAATATTCTATAATATGTTTTCAAATGGGGCAAATATAATTTATCGTATTGACTGTGGTTTGCAGCCACGATGGACAGGAATAACAACTTCCATTCATCGAGAAAGGGCCCACGAGGTGGGTCACCAGTGAGCGGCCGCAGGGACCCAGTGTGACCTGCCGTGTCTGTCACCTCTCTGCTACCAGTCTGGCTCCCCTGGAAGTCAGATAAACGAATCCAGACCGTCTGGCTGCAGCCCACTCTCCCACTTTGTAAAGGGATAACAGCAGCTGTCACTGATCACTTACCCAGCTAGAATCTATGCTAGGAACTTTACGTCTATTACTGCAAATGCTTTAACAACCTTCTGGGTTAAGAAGCATCCCCACTTCGCAGTGAGGAAACTGAGGACAGGAAAGGTTGTTTATTATAAAGTGACACAGTTAATACTGTGATGGGTAGCAACATAATTTAAAGATGTCTACTGCCTACAAAGCCTGGGCTTTTTCCAACTAAAACATACTCTCATGTTTTCTAACTTAACTACACTTACACGAAGAACATGTTTCTCACCAATGATTAAATCCCACAAACACATCATTCCCATCTACCTTGATTAATAGGATTACAAAGTATGTCAATCTGAAGCTACAGATAAAATGCCAAAAGAAATCTAATTGGCCAATTATAGATGCAGCACAAAAATGTATTTGGGTATTTCTTACACACGCACACCCTTTCAATGCCAAATTGTAAGACAGAAATACGAGCATTTACTTGTCATATATAGTATGTTGCAAACTGATCGTCAGGGGTCAGCAGCAGCAGACTCTGCAAAAACCACTGTATGTGGGAAACGCACGCCCACCGGTCCGTCCTAACCTCTCCTTCGAGGGCGGTACCGGTGAGGCCCGGGCCGTTGTCCGCCAGGGCAATGGGCAGGCACAGAAGCGGCCCCACAGGTAGACTTGAGAGTGTGGTTTCCCTGAGGCTCATTCTGTAAACAGCCATTTGCAATGGGCAATAGTGTTTTCAGAATTAAATTTAGCCTTCTAGGCATCTTCCCACTACTTTTTTCTATGGGCAAATTAGAAATATCTACTTACCCAGAAAGGTTTTGGTGAAAAAAACTAAAGTAAAATATTCATTTGATTTCATTCTATTGTCATTTCTTTTTTAGGAAAACGATGCAGTTAATTCTGCCCATTAAATAAAGACAAAATAAAACCAACCAACCAACCGACAAAAGCACACAGAAGTGGGGCTCTCCGAAACGACCCCACTGCAGCTCAGAGCCCCAGGGCGGCGGAGGGCAGCAGGAGCTCAGTAGAGCCTGGCCTGTAGCACTGCCATCACACACCCTCTCCACAGTCCTCCCAACCACCCCAGGAGGAAACACCACCACTTCAACGTGCTCTCCACATAGAGAAGGTAGCCTTCGAACCTCGCCCAACCTCGCCCTTTAACAAGTAAGACACCATGGCGGGGCGGGGCGGGGCCGGGCGGGAGAGGTCTCTGCTCACTCAGCACCAAGGGCCCAGACAAGTCATCAGCCATCCCGAGCTCCACCCGACCAGCTCATTAGTAAAATGGGGCTCACATCCACACTTCAGAAAATCGTTCTGAGACCAAACGAGATAACAAGCGTCCATAAAGGATGGATTTACTTTAATGACTGGATGATATATGGAATAATCACATTAACTGATTATATGTAAATGATCAGTCAACAAAGTACTTCAGACCATTTTCTCATAAGTAAATTAAATGTTCAGAGAAGATGTTTAATTCTACTAATTTACCTAACAAAATAACAATATTAACATATGGGTTAAAAATTTTTATTACTAATACCTGAACTAAAGAACATTTGTAAAGATTTTCAACATTATAAACATAAATATTATGAGAAGATTTTTCCAAAATTTTTTTTTTCTTTTTGAGGCATAGTCTTGCTGTGTCGCCTTGGCTACAGTGCAGTGGCATCATCACAGCTCACTGCAACTTCCTGCCTCAACCTTCCAAATAGCTGGGACTACAGGCCTGCACCACTTTGCCCAGCTAATTTTTTCTATTTTTAGTAGAAACGGGGTCTCGCTCTTGCTCAGGCTGGTCTCCAGCTCCTGATCGCAAGCGATCCTCCCGCCTCTGCCTCCTAGAGTGCTAGGATTACAGCCATAGCCACTGTGTCTAGCCCTTCTAAAGCCTTTAATTTTGATGCAATTATCAGCATGCACTTAGAGGGTGGGTATGGTTGGCTTTTGAATAATTTTCAAAGCTTAAGGATTCATTAGGAAATTTGGGGACTCATTATAATTGGACAGTAATATCCTAGAAATCATCTACATGAAATAGTTTTAAAGTTAATTTAAAATCCCTGATGGGCTGGTTGCAGTGTCTCAAGCCTGTAATCCTAGCATTCAGGGAGGCCAAGGCGGGAGGATCGACTGAGGTCAGGAGTTGGAGAAAAGCCTGAGCAAGAGTGAGACCCCGTCTCTACTAAAAGTAGAAAAATTAGCCTGGTATGGTGGTGCATGCCTGTAGTCCCAGCTTCTTGGGAGGCTGAGGCAGGAGGACTGCTTGAGCCTAGGAGTTTGAGGTTGCTGTGAGCTAGGCTGATGCCACAGCACTGTAGCCTGGGCAACAGAGTAAGGCTCGGTCTCAAACAGAACAAAACAAAAATCTCTGATAAATAAAAGAAGCACACATTCTACTTTCGTGGAGACACTCTCTCACACCCCCTCTCCCAGGACCCCTAGTGAGCCTGTGCCACCAAGTGCAGGTGCCCCTGAGCCCACAGCCCCAGGCCCCTGCTGTCCCCTCACCGCAGACCCAGCCCTTCTCCAGGCAGTGCTAAGGTCCCGCCTCTCCGTGAGGCCCTCCAACACTAAGCCTCTTGCTCTTCTCTAAAGACACTGCCAATCGTTTGCATGTTTTAGATTTCATCATCTGTCTTTCCCCCCAGGGTTCAATCCTAGATTCAACAAACATCTATTGAGCACCAGCTGTGCACACTGAACAAAGGACAAATGATTCCAGCACAGTCTTGACCTCGTGGTCAAGTGGGAGAGACAAACAAGAAATCTGTGAATAGAGTACCACAACGTTATAACTACTAGAACTGATTTATAAAGTACCATGGGATCCCAAGGAAGGGGGAATTATGACTTCCAAAGTACATCTACCTACAGCTCCCAATTCAAAGCTTAGACCAGGAACCTGAGTATCTGATTTCATCTCATTCACAAGTCACATTTGAAGTCACAACGTAACAGGCAAGAGAAACCTGGCGTGATGGAGAGTTCACAGCCTGCCCTCAGACCTCAGCTGAACCTCGGTCTCAGTTCATGATACCGGGTGTCAGAGGGCCGTGGCCTGGATTAAATGACAAGGGTAAATTATCTGAACAACAAAAACCTGGAACACAGCAGGGGAGAAACCAGTGTCAGCTTCCCTCCACTGCTCCCACATTATGGCAAGACTAGCTCTGCATCCAAGCAATAAAAATAATTAAAACCTAGAGGTTTTGTTTTCCTAAAAGAAAATTAAATTGCTCCCCTTGAGGAAAAAGCAATTTTTACTTCACATCTGACAGCCTACCATCTCCCAAAGATTTGCAGCAAGCTCTCCTTTTTAATCCCCTTTGCACTATTTAACATTGATTTGTTTTTGTTGTTCAACTTGTCGCTGACCTGATCAACACTGATTTAATGTAGCACCGTAAACCCTGAAGTTAAACAGGTTAATTTATAGGATAGCACTGAGCATCACATGAACATAAGACGAAACATGTGCCACTGGCCTCCACGTGCCACCCAAACTGTTGTTACCATGTAACTCTCCTTTACTAACAGTTCTGTCTCCTTGAAGCACACTGATCTTTTTATACAGATATTTGGATTATAATGGCATTTACTTTAGTGCATTTAATGTGGCTTAGAATTTATGATATTTACATAAATATATATTTACATAAAAGATACAGAATATAAATGGCTGCCATCAACAGTTTCAGAATTATAGGTTATAAACTAAATTTTAGGGACAGACGACCGGGCGGGATGGAGTTAGTTTCTTATCTTTAAAAGAAAACCAATATTTAGAAAGTCTTCTGTTGCAACAGCTGTCAATTTTAGGAACATTATTTCATAATACACATCTCTCAAATTTGACAAACTACATTTTAGTTTTAAAAGTCATTATAGAACAAGGTGATGGACACTGATGTTTTTAATGATCAGCATTTTCTAAAACAATTCCTCAGCCTCCCCCTGCCAAATACATACATACAGAGAATTGTATATACCATTTTCTGGGGAAAGTTTGTCATAAGCATCTTCATAAATATAATTTCTTCTTATTGTGACATTAATTCCATCCAGAAATGGACCATCTCCTTGAACTTCTTGTTTATCTGCATAAATCAACTTTTGAAAGATCTAACAAATAGAGGAAGTTGTAAGGTTATTACAAACAATAGACTTTTTGTTATAAGCAACCAAAAGTAAAAGCTGCTAATTAAATCTTAACTTTTGTTTTCCCATAAACTCTGAAATTTTAATAGCCAAGGTATCAAATCTCGATTGTATCAATAAATATATGTAACATGGATCATATTTACGTATTTAATACTTTCCCCCATCTTATAGTAAACTTCAAAAATCCCATCCTATAGTGTATTTACATTTATAAACCCTTTATAAAAACTCAGGTGGTGAGAGAAGAAGGAAGAACAGCTTTGTAAAAGTAGTACACTAATAATAGTGGTAATATCTTTGTAACAAATTTCAAGTAATTTTTTGATGTTCAAAATCCAGCAGAGGGAGCTCAGGAATTATGCAATACTATGCCTGTGTGTGGTTTCTAATGAAGAAACACCAACAGCTTCAAAAGAAACCTCTTCTTTTGTGCACCCTATAAAGAGCGTGTACAGGCCTAAAACAGCCCTCTTAAAGTTGTCACTGGAGAACAGACTGGAATAATTGTTAGAAATTTGCTAAATATATTTGATGAATGCAAACAAAACATTTTACATTAAATTTGGAAACAGATAAGTGTAAGGAATGTTTGTACATTAGTCCAAATCACCAGGCAAAGAATTAAGACACCTGTGCGTTTCTGTTTTAATAAAGTTGTGTTTATGATAAGTAACTGTAACACGCATGTACAGAAGCTTATCTTTACAAAATTTGTATTTTCAGAAACAATGCAAAAGTTACAGAAAAAGAACCTTAGACCCTCACTATAAGAAACCTATAACAGAATAAGCCTTTCAAGCAGTTACAGGGGTCCTTAAACTTTTTAAACAGGGGGCCAGTTCACTGTCCCTCAGACCGTTGGAGGGTCAGACTATAATTTTAAAAAAGTATGAACAAATTCCTATGCACACTGCACATATCTTATTTTGAAGTAAAAAAAAAAACCGGGCAAAACACCCGCATGTGGCCCGAGGGCCATAGTTTGAGGACACCTGAGTTACAACTAAGGAAATATTTTCAGTTGGTACAAAGAGGTTATCTGGTTGGGTTTTTACAAATCATCAGTAACTATTACAACCTAATGGGAAAATGTAAATTATATGGCTAGCAAGGCACCAGGTACCTCTAGTGATTTTTTTGTTGGCATGTTAATTTTTTAATACTAATATGATAAATAACCATAAAGTGATTACATAATGACTTAACCAATAAGGAAACCAAGCAAACTGCATACCTTTACTCGTTCCTCGAATGGAACCACAAAAGGCAGTTCTGTTAGGATGGCAAGTTGTCTTTCCTCAGACACAGACAGCGGTGGGGACTCCAAACCCACTACAATACATTTTATAAACTTCAATTAGTTCATTTGTGCTTTCCATTTCCACTGCCAGTTATTAAGGACAGGATTTACAAAATCATTCTTAAGACTACTAAAGTAACCTATTAGCACATACATATCTACTTCCAGTTCCATGAACAGATCCCCTCGAGCCCAACATACAATCTGGTCATCACAACTGAGCGAGCAAGCCTCACTGGTGCAGTGCAGGAATAGGACAGAAGTCCTCAGTGGCTGTCCTGATACATACCCTGGTCCGATATTAAATATTTCCCAATCAATTATCAAGTTACCTTCCCAGCCGCCCAGCAAATCCTAAGCACGCAGCCAGGACAACTGGTGAGGGCCAAGCATAGCCACATCCGACAGTGGGAAAGCGCCACGTGCTTGCCCTTTTCCTCCTCCTGCACCGACAATGCTCCTCCCAGGCCAGCAGTAAGTTTACCGGACATTGCCTTGAGAGGGCTTACACAGGGGCCAGCACCTCACTAATAAATGCGTGTCCTATTCTGTCCTTACAATAAGAGTAGCTTGGGTCGCACAATAAATCGTTACTTGGCCTTTTGAAACTCATTTTAAGAAAGAGGAAAATCCTTGAAGATTTTTTATTAAACGACTCTCAGTAGATTCCCTTCTACCCTCTGTATATAAGTGAAAAGGAAAACACATATGATGCATTTTATTGAAATCTATGGCACATTTATCCAATAAATATGCAGATTTATTGAGTGCCTACTAACTGCCGGGCTCAGTAACAGTCAGAATTTTATCATCACTTGTAAAATCTCTAATAGCAATGGAGCTAAAGAAACTAGTGTTTACATATGTTATAATTCACCACATGTATTTCTAGCCCAAGATTTAGAAGTATATGACTATCTCTGTAGCAAAGAGAATATTTTTTTTCTCCCTGTAATCACTCAACCAAAAAACCCACTGTGTTTGGACTTCTTCAAATATAAGCTGTTTCCAAGTATTTAATAATTATATTCATAATTATATTCAAAATACATCCATTTTGGTAATTGGAAGTTTATATAATAAAGTTCAACTAGTAGGAAACACTATCAGTATGATTAATTTATAACTATCAGCTACTGAACATATAAGTCAAGAATTATGTTTAAGTGTTTGAGGATACAATGAAGCTTAATAAGAATTGGTCAAACTCTCAAAATCTAACGGCTCATCCTCCCACTACTGGCAGACACTGGTGCAGGGGACTAGGAAGCCAGGGTGGGGTAAGTCACTGCGCCCACTGGGGAAGAGCTGAGCAGCAGAGAGGGGTAAGGTGAGACAGCCTATGAGAAATGTTTAGAATCAAATAAATTTTTAAACAACACCAAGGAATAAAAGAACACACTGATCAAAATTATAGAATCTACTATCTCTACAAAATTAATATTAATACTAAATTATTTATAGAAAGCTTTATTATAAATGGAATTAGATTCTGAAAAACTAAATAATTATAGTACCTTATAACCCTTAAAATGTCTATATAATTATTACATATGAGATTATTATGCCCAGAAAACAAAGTAACTAGACTCAACATGGCCCATAAAAAATAAGGTCTGAATATCTTTTTTTTTTTTTTTTTTTTTTTTTGAGACAGAGTCTCACTTTGTTGCCCAGGCTAGAGTGAGTGCCATGGCATCAGCCTCGTTCACAGCAGCCTCAATCTCCTGGGCTCAAGCGATCCTCCTGCCTCAGCCTCCCGAGTAGCTGGGACTACAGGCGTGCGCCACCATGCCCGGCTAATTTTTTGTATATATATTTTTAGTTGGTCAATTGATTTCTTTCTATTTTTGGTAGAGACGGGGTCTCACTCAGGCTGGTTTCGAACTCCTGACCTTGAGCAATCCGCCCGCCTCGGCCTCCCAAAGTGCTAGGATTACAGGCGTGAGCCACCGCGCCCGGCTGAATATCTTTTAAATTAAAAGGGCATAAACAGGGCCAGGCGCGGTGGCTACCATGCCCGGCTGTATATCTTTTAAATTAAAAGGGCATAAACAGGGCCAGGCGCGGTGGCTACCGTGCCCGGCTGTATATCTTTTAAATTAAAAGGGCATAAACAGGGCCAGGTGCGGTGGCTCACGCCTGTAATCCTAGCACTTTGGGAGACCGAGGCGGGCGGACTGCTCAAAGTCAGGAGTTCGAAACCAGCCTGAGTGAGACCTCATCTCTACCAAAAGTAGAAAGAAATCAATTGACCAACTAAAAATATATATACAAAAAATTAGCCGGGCATGGTGGCGCATGCCTGTAGTCCCAGCTACTCGGGAGACTGAGGCAGGAGGATCGCTGAGCCCAGGAGATTGAGGTTGCTGTGAGCCAGGCTGACTGCCACGGCACTCACTCTAGCCTGGGCAACAAAGTGAGACTCTGTCTCAAAAAAAAAAAGAGGGCATAAACAGAAAGGACATATAAACTACCCGTTCACAAAATTTGCTCATTTATTTTATTTTTCGGCTTACTCTTTTAAAACGAAATAAGAGCAATCAGCAATGCACAGGTACTTAGAAATTCAAGTTCCTCCATTTGAATAAATGAAAAAAAGCGCAACTAAATACAACTGCCTGTGCTATGAGTTAGCCGCTCCTCCCCCAATTCAAGTGGGATTAAGCCAATTTTACATTGTTCCCCGAGGTTTTCACACATTCATCTAAATGAATGCAGTGGCAGTGAAAGGGTTTGAATGACAAACTCTGGTCTGGAAGAAAGACCACTGAAGAGAAAGACAAGATATTTCATTCAAGAGTCAGTTTTTGGGCAGAGAAGGTCTGCCCAGAACTTTAATCCATTCTGTATGTTTTTTATTTCTTGGTTTTATAGAATGATTAGGCAATCATGCGACAATAAATGAAAGTAGTTTTACTTTAAAAAATCGTCTTTACATAAATTATACTTCAAAAAGAGTAAAAATAAGAGCTACCAACAACATGAAGAGGGAGGAACTAGTTAAGAACAGAGCAGACGAGTGTCTCTGTGACAGGTCATGCCCAAGAGCCACACAGCTGCACAGAGGTCACCGCAGCAAAATCTAGACATGCAGACATCCCACACACCCTGCAACATAGCAGAGCTAGTCTGGTAATTTAAGTTTTCTTACAACACCCCATGATGCTATAGGTAGCATCATGGAAGGAAGAAAAAAGGAAGAAAAAAACCCCAAAAGATTAAATAACTGCTCTTCATTAATTTATTCATTCTTCAATTCATGTGACTCTAGGCTGCTGAAACTGGTCAAACCACAAGAGCTACCACTTCTCCTTAAACCTCACCCAAATCACCTTAGCTGTTCTAATAATACCTTACACATCCAAACTGCAGGGCTACCACTGGGAAACAAAATCCACAAGGAAAAAATATTATCCAAGACAGTAATTCATGTTTAAAGAATATGTGGGTGCAAATCTTTGGGTAAGCACACAGAGTAATATTTTAAACCGTACAATCTGTTCAATGAAGCAAGAAGAGAAGATATTACTTCGTGATAAAAAATAAACAGATCACCACAATGCATATGGTGATAGCTATTCTAGTAAATAAAACAAAATGCTAAACATCTTGATTTGGATTCAAACACCAAAGTATGTGCTTATTCCCACAAATTTTGTTCTGTTTCTTGCCAAAAAAAATTATTTAACATTTTGGAAAACAAAAATTACACCTCTTAACAATTCTAACATATAAGTACAAACGTCAAATAGAAACAGTTGATAAGTTAATTCTGATCAAAATATGGAACAAAGCATCTATAAAACCTTAAGCAAACTGATATAAGATTCTAACATCTGATATCCTAGTTTTTACTAAAATCTAACAGCAAATACCAACCTCACAAGGTTCATTTACTACAGTGGAAACAGGATAATTTCCAAAACACACACAGATTACCAAATACTTAGAAATGAAAGACTGAACTCTAGTAGCACCCTCTCCTTCACTGACCCCAGAAACTAAAAGCAACTAAGAATGAAAAACAAAATGCACACAAAGAAATCATGCTGCAGGTAGCTGACTGAAATTCATAAATTATGAATATACTTTAAGAGTCTATTACATCTTGCATAGCTCAAGTGAGCAGGAGCTGACAAGAAAAATATTAGGGAGAGAAAAGCAAACCATTACATTAAATGAAGGTATCTTAGACATCACACCAAAAGTACAACTCATAAAAAAGAATTATGACAAATGGGATATCAAAATTAAAAACCTGCTCCTCAAAAGACACTACTATAACATGAAAAGAAAAAGACAAGCCACAGACTAGGAGAAAATATCTGCAAAACACATGTCTGATAAAGGCATTATATCCAAAACATATATTAAAAACTATAGGCCGGGTGCGGTGGCTCACGCCTGTAATGCTAGCACTCTGGGAGGCCAAGGCGGGTGGATTGCTCAAGGTCAGGAGTTTAAAACCAGCCTGAGCAAGACAAGACCAAGACCCCTGTCTCTACTAAAAATAGAAAGAAATTAATTAGCCAACTAAAAATACATAGAAAAAATCAGCTGGGCATGGTGGCACATGCCTGTAGTCCCAGCTACTCGGGAGGCTGAGGCAGGAATATCGCTTGAGCCCAGGAGTTTGAGGTTGCTGTGAGCAAGGCTAATGCTACAGCACTCTAGCCCGGGCAACAGAGTGAGACTCTGCCTCAAACAAACAAAAAAACCCCACAAAAAACACAGAACTATAAACTAAAAGAAGTGAATTCTACGGTGTGTAAATCACTCCTCAATACACTTGCATCCCGGAAGACTCACCGTCCAGGGTGGACTGCAGTGGGCCTATCCTCCCCATGCGCCGGAACCTCCACACGTGTCTGGACGCTGGCACATAGAGCTGCGTGACCTGTGGGGGCAACCAATGTTCAGCACTTCCTGCACGAACGAACTCCTACCTGGTCACACCTGAGCACAACCAGTGTTTCATATTTATTTCAAGTGGCTGGACCCTTTCTTTGATCTAATACCTTCGTGTTCTTTTCACGTCACCTTCTTATGCCCTCTTTTATGCTGGCTGAACTTTCATACTTTTGCAGTTTAATTACTTTTTCTAATACAGCTGAAAAAAATCTGTAATTATTTTATTTAATGGTGTACAATATCTAGACACAGAAAGTCATCATAATATCATTACTTCATGAAGCAAAATATATCACACTTTATTTTAAATTTTATTTATTTTTTTGGAGACAGGGTCTTGCTCTGTCGCCTGGGCTGGAGTGCAGCGGCACCATCATAGTTCACTGCAGCCTCAAACTCCGCGCTTAAAGGATCCTCCCACCCTGGTCTCCCAAAGTCCCGGGATTACAGGTATGAGCCACCTCGCCCAACCTCTTCCGATTTTTAAGGAAGCAGCAGAAACTTCTGTCCAGTAAAATTTCCCATAATCTGGATTTTGCTAATTGCACCCTCATGGGGTTGTTAAACATGTACTTCTAATCCCTCCATTTCCTATAAGCTTGCAGCTAGACACAGGTTTCATCACACTCAGATTTAATTTTGGGGCAGGAATGTTTCTTAGCTGGCTGGGGAGCTCCTTCACGGGAGGCACCTGCGTGTGCTCAGCACTGCCGAGATGGAAGCCACTCCCAGTGTGGTGTGTGCACTGTGCTCCAGGTTGGCGATGAGATAAAGAACTTGTGCCAAAACATAAACATCCGAGTCCCTAAACAAGCTGCTGGGTTCAGTTGCTATTTTCCCACAGCAACACTTTCTGAGTAAGGCAGGGGTGCGATGATTTATATTCCAGCAGCAGACCCTCATCACCTCGGGGACGCTCACGCCGCCTCAGACCAGCAGGCCCAGTGTGCCGATCACATTTGGGGTAGCACTGCCGGGTCTTCTGTCTCCCAGGGGACTGCACAGTGGGGTGACTCTAGTTTCACATATTATTAACACACATCATCAACCACCTAGTTCAGGGGTCCTCAAACTTTTTAAACAGGGGGCCAGTTCACTGTCCCTCAGACCGTTGGAGAGCACACACTGTGGGCCCAGGACGAGGTGGCTGCTAAGCAGGACAGGCAGCGGCGGCAACAACTCCCGGAGGGCCAGATAAATGTGCTAGGTGGCCCGCGGGCCATAGTTTGAGGATGCCTGGCCTACTTAGCCTGAGGTACAGCTCATAAAGGAAAGGCAGGCTAATACTTGATTACTTCTTTTAGTCAAAACAATACTCAAAATAATGAGGCAGGCGGACACAGTGGCTCATGCCTGTAATCCTAGCACTCTTGGAGGCTGAGGCAGGAGGATCACTTGAGGCCAGGAATTCTAGACCAGCCTGGGCAAGACTGACTCCATTTCTACTAAAAATAGAAAAATTAGCCAGGTGTCATGGCATGTGCCTGTAGTCTCAGCCTGAGAGGCTGAGGCAAGAGGATTGCCTGCCCAGGAATTTGAGGCTACTATGGAACTATGATGATGCCACTGTACTCTATACAGAGCAACAGGGCAGAGACACTGTCTCAAAAAAAAAAAAAAAAAAGAGGTGGTTCCTACCTCTTTTTTGTAGGTGGTTCCTACAAAAATGACCAATGAAGTTTTTAGTATTATTAAATCATAGATTTAAGCACATCTGATATTTGAGTCACCTGCAGCTGTTTCTACCAAGGCTCAGATTTCCCACTTGTGGCCAGTTGGAGCCCTTCCAATGCCTCCGATCCTGCCACACAACCCCAGGAGCCTTTTATAGCCCCCTGGCTCTCTAGTGTGACAGGACACTCCACACCCACCTTGTTGGTCCGGACCTAGAACCAACCATTATGCCAAGGGACTGCCTCTTCTCAGTGAGAAATGTTGTTTGGAAGCCCCTGCCTGGGTCCTGGAGCTGTTTGCTGCTATAGGGTCTGACACAGTTGCTAACCCTGGTCAGTGGCATTAGAAGCCATATACTTAAAGACAAAATATCTCATGAGGACACAGGAATGCTTATGAAATTGTTCTCAGCACTCATGTTTTCTCTTAATATTTCTGTAACCTGCTTTCTTCTATACCCCTCTATTCCCTATCTCCCACCCCTAAGATTCTGAAATGAATCCACTCAAGACTGTTCTGAAAAACAAAAATGGAAACACTTCATGCCCTGGTAATGTTGCTTAAATTTTTCTCTAACACATTACACTACTAAATCTGTTTTAGACGTAGATCTTAGTAATATTCAAATTTGTCTCTGCTTCTTTGGAGAACTAAAGAGATCTATCTCTTTCAAGTATTGAACATACAAGGGCTGTCTGGAAAGTATCCAGCCAGGTAATGTTCTTGTTATATTAACAATGCCTAGACACCTTCCGGACAGCCCTTGTATAATATTTAGTATTAATACCAATAAAAGCAAAATGTCTGTCAACATCAACAAAGAATCATTAGGCTTCAATATAATTTAGGTTAATGAGGAAAATTAGGATTCATAACACACTCAGAATGCAGGTTTAAGTCAATGCTAGTGCTGTGTCCCATTACATGAACAAAGAGTTAGTAGTTAAAGCTTACCATTCATACTTAGTGAATAAGTAATAAATCAAACACTTTTAAAGGATTATTTTTCTCCCCAGAAAGACAAAAGCTGAAAAATATTTTTAATAAAAAGTATTAAAAAGATTTTTCATTGACACCTTATCTGCTTTAATATCTTCTTGTTCTGACAGCCAGTGATTTGGAGGACAAAAATTTCTCCTTGTGTCTCTGGACTTCAACATTTTCACCAGGTTGGTGATAACCTGAGGAGAAAGAAAGGCCTGTGTCACACAAGCGCGGTCAGCAGCTACCGCTGCGCAGAGGCGAGCACACCCCCAGCGGCGCGGCGGGACCCGGCAGCGCATCTGGCCACAAACCACCAAGCCAGGGACAAAAAGGGCTTTTCTCTGCCAGTGTAAGATGTGTACGATGCAGTTATCTGCAAACAAATATGTACAGAAAAATGAACACATACATGCACATAAGAATTTCTTTAATTACAAGACAAATGGTGAATAAGTTTTGAAACACAAATCTGGAAGTGTTATTGTCTCATCTGAGCTACAATGAGAGACATCTCTAGGTGGTGCAACTTTGTAAAACTTTCACAAGTTAAAATAGCATGTCTTGTTTTTCTGAGAAACACTGCACCAAGGGCACTGGAGGAAAAGAGAAGCATCCTAGTCATCATTGTCACATCTCCCCCGCCGCAAATTTCAGTATTTCCCTTAAATAATCCTCTGGAGTTAAGTCTTCTTCCCACCATCACTCCACAAAAATTTAGTCTCATCTCCTTGGTGAAGCTTCCCCAAATGGTCGGGCCTACACAAATTTTCACTACATTATCATAGCTTAGTCTTTTATTATTACTTTTTTCTGAATGAGCAATATTATAGTTTCTCTCTGGCTTCTTACAAAGAGAATCCAACTATTATAACTACCATGGAACCTAGTAGGTACTCAACAACTGATGGGGATCAATAATCATTTATAAATTTTATAATATATGATTAAAGAGATCAAGCAACACTAAAAAAGATCTGAAATTTTATATTGAATAGAAATGTATCTTTTATAAGCAAAGATAAACCAAAATTATAAAACCAAAGTTTTAAACAAACCTCTACAACCAGGATTCAATCATAAAACTACTAGGGAATTCAAGAAGACTGCAATGGTGTTTTCTGAAAAAGTCACTCAGGCTTATGTACACACTGCTTCTAATTAAATAAAATACAATTAGGACAATCAGAGGGGTAATAAAATCAGAACAACTCGATTTCTAAATATACCCTCTGGATAAGCAAGATCTCACAATGTCAACTGTTATTAGATTCCCCTTTAAAATTCCATAATTTAGCATCTACATACAACAGAAACACAAATGCTTTTTTAAAGAAATGCATATCCTAGCATACAGGGATACCAGAAATTCTGTGTCCCCAAGGAAAAAGGGTGAGAAAAGTCCTTGGGTTGATATCTCAGGCTACTATAATGTGGACGCCACCAGAATAACTACTCATGGACTATGGGTAGTTATTTGGAATAACAGAAAAAAGGAATATTTGAGCACCTGGGCCATGCAAATAAAACTACATCAGTAAAAATCTCTGGAGATCTGGAATACGGCTTTCTAACCGGTAAACATTTCTTACCAATTTAGAAGTGGCATCTCTCTTGTGATATTTGAAAACCTATCACAATACTATAATAATTATTACTCTTCTGATTAAGTGGAAATTAGTTTAAATAGTCAAGGTAAATATGGAGTTAGTTATTCCCTGACCCTTGAATCTGCTGTGGTTGCTCAAGAGGTCAGTTACATATATATGTTCAACGTTTTATAATTATAGATTTCTTATGCAGCACAGGCAGATTGGCAATAGCCTTGTTTTAGGTTCTGCCTGGTTAACTGCATGCTCAAAATAACATCATTGATGTAATGCACTTAATTCTTAGAAGTCACTCAGCTTTACTCTTCAAAAGTAAAGATTAAATCTCAATTAGCTGTGTAACATTACATGTGCTATCCTCATGTGGGACAGATTCAGGTAGTCCACAGGAGGCCACCATACGCTCTTCCAATACTAGAGATAGAAGTATAATCATTTTGTATGAAGAAAATGTCTTTTCCTTTTCATGACCAACCAGTACTATAGATAAATCCAGATTAAATAGCTACCATGCTGAAATTTAACCTTTTATAAACACAATATTAACAAAGGACAAGCTTTCTGACAAATATTTACATGTATTTAACGCTATTATCCCACTGAATATTGGGACCCACTATGCATTTAACACCCCCAAGGAAACTTAGGTATAATGAGGGAAAGGGGGCGACTTGCTCAAGGTCATGCAAGGAGAGGACCAGGTCTGCCCAACTACAGAAGACAAAATTGTGTCCACTCTTAGATATTCATCTCTATTCGCCCTCTATTTATGAGGACATTTATTTTCTATAGGTCACAAAAGTTATTAAATTGGGTAATAAGGCAATTAATGCATCATTTATATTCTTCTTCAAAATTATTATAAAATTAAACATTAAAAAGTTTCAGTTTGGGGCATCCTCTTTTATATTTTCATATCTTACAAGTGGAAAAAGAAGTCACATAATGCATATAAAATGTTCTAGTACCACTGTGATCCTCTTTCCAAAAAAAGGGGAGGAAGGAGTAGAGAAAGGAAGAGTGGAGGAGAGAAAGAAAGCAGAAGGTAAAAAGCCATCTGAGTCTAAGGAGGCAAGTCAGGGAAGGGATGCCAGACAGAAGCCACTGTGGGAAAGCACGTCTTAAGTTAAACTTAAAGATGAGCCCTAGACAGGAACACCAGAGAAAATACAGAGGACATCTAGTTAAATTTGAATTTCAGATAAACATCAAATAATATACTGTTAGTGTAAGTATGTCCCAAATATTGCTTTCATTAAAGCATGTCCCAAATATTGCATGGGACATAAATACATTTTTTTAAGTAATTGTGATTTATTTGAAATTCAAATTTAACTGGGTAACCTGCATTTTTATTTGCTAAATATGGCATGATTAGCCCTAGACCACTTCCAAAAATAGTTTTTAGAAATGCTAAATATCATACCTCAAAATCAACTAAGAACGTTTTTCCTCCTTCATATAAACTATTTTTCTTCTAAGTTTTAAATAAAAACATAAATATTAAGAAACCATGAAAATTTGACAGGCTCCATGTTGCAATGTCAAAGCGCCTGTAAGCACATTCCTTCTCCACATTCACTTTCAGTGTCTCAGACTCAAGAGTGCCACAAATATTTAGTCCCCAAAGGAAAGTTTGTGGAAGTAACCAGCAAAAAATTACATAGATTGACCACAGATTTTGAAAGGTAAGAAAAAGTGGAGTAACAATTTTAAACTGACGAAACTGATAGCCAGTGTTGAATTCATTAGAGAGTTTTTGTTTCAATTAAAATTTTATCAAGGTTTTTGGGAGACTTTACCAAAACTGAAACACTTCTAGAATTTTAAACAGCACCTAAGTCATAGGTGAATCCAATTTTGCAAATTGAGATCAACTATTATAAAAGCCTGCCCCCAGTAAACTCTAACAGGTAGAGTTAGGTCCATGGCTCTTAACCTTCACCGCAGGCTGGAACCCCCTGCAGCTTTGGCAATCGCCCACCCTGCCACCAAAGCACAGTCGAGGCTGGGCGCGGTGGCTCACACCTGTAATCCTAGCTCTCTGGGAGGCGGAGGCAGGCGGATTGCTCGAGGTCATGAGTTCGAAACCAGCCTGAGCAAGAGCGAGACCCTGTCTCTATTATAAATAGAAAGAAATTAATTGGACAACTAATATATATAGAAAAAATCAGCCGGGCATGGTGGCGCATGCCTGTAGTCCCAGCTACTTGGGAGGCTGAGGCAGAAGGATTGCTTGAGCCCAGGAGTTTGAGTTGCGGTGGCGTAGCTACACGCCACGGCCCACTCGTAGCCCAGCTAGGCAGCAAAGTCGGTGACGCTGGTCTCAAAAAAGAAAAAAAAAGCAAAAGAAAGAAAGAGGAGCACGGTCGAGTCAAACCGCTCCAAGACCAGAGGCCAGTCGCAGGTGCGTCCCAAACAGCTGGTGCCTGCGGTGTTGGAATGCCCAAACTGACGAAAACAGGGTGGCAGTCGGGCTGAGCAGAAAGCAGAAGAGTTAAAATAGCAAACAAGAGGTTAAAAGAGCGAGGGCTCTATCCTGTCGAACGTATACCAAGTCCCAGCAGGCTGCTAAGTGCATAAGAGTGCACAGACGGTGAGTATTCATCTGGATGCGTCAAGCTCTTGTGGTCACAGCTAGCATGTACCTCCCACACGTAGAGCTCAGAAACCTCGTGGAGTATATAAGATGCTTGAACTACATCACATTGAATACTTAGAAACACATACAATTGCTAACATGCTCCTAGTCAGAGTCCATTTGAAATTAATCGGGGTGACAGTTTAAAGTTCCCTCGAATCGTAAAAAAAAATTATTTTAAAAAGATCAAGTCATAACTGCCACCAGAAAACAGTAAAATGTCCTTATAAAATACCAATTGATGTCTGTCCAAGTTAAGATTGAAAAATTAACATGCACATATTTCAAAGATACAGTTGTGTTAGAGAGTTTCACTGGCTAGCTGATTAAGACATCTGTGCTTAATACACTTGGGAAATATCTTAAGCATTACTAACATTACTCACTTCATAAGAAGGGAAGCCAGTCTAGTGAATAATAAGAGATTGTAGGTATGATAAATTGAGATGCTTAAGGCACATGTATTAATGGTTAGAAGTTATGACAGTCTGAGTGGAGGCATGCTGGAGTAACTTGGATATAATTTGCAACCAAAAAAATAAGTACATATAGTCCAAGTTCTGAAAGGCAACAGGAAGACCAACTTACATTATAAAAGTCTCTATGTAAAATCAGGTAAATAAAACCAAACAGCTTAGTTAATTCTTTAAAATCTCAATAAAAAGCATATAATTGGCAGGGCAGGGTGGCTCACGCCTATAATCCTAGCACTCTGGGAGGCCGAGGCAGGTGGATCACTCAAGGTCAGGAGTTCAAAACCAGCCTGAGCAAGAGCGAGACCCCGTCTCTACTAAAAAATAGAAAAATTAATTAGCCAACTAAAAATATATATAGAAAAAATTAGCTGTGCACAGTGGTGCGAGCCTGTAGTCCCAGCTACTCGGGAGGCTGAGCCAGTAGGATTGCTTGAGCAATTGCTTGAGTTTGAGGTTGCTGTGAGATAGGCTAA